TATCAGTTCTTCAACACAGCAAAGTCGAGCCAATCCTGATGAGCAGCCCGCAAGGTGACTTGGATTGGCATGAGGATGTTTTGAAAGATACTCAGGTTGCGGGTCTTCCAGAGCCACCATAGGATATAGGTGGTGAGCTGGATTCTAGCCTCTGATGTGTCTGAGGAGTATAAGGAGCAAATATCAAACCACCAGCTTCTAAAGGATGAGTCTTGAGATGGCAGGAGGTTCCAAGTGACCTGGGCAATGTTCCACAGATTTGCAGCTCTTGAGCATTGGAAGAGAACATGGTTTATAGTTTCTGGTTCCTCACCACATATACTGCACATAACATCACAGTCCAGTCCTTTCCTCCGCAGATTTGTTGTAACAGGAAGAGCTCCCTCAATGCATTTCCAGATAAAGATCTTAACTTTGTTGACAATGTGTAGTTTCCAAAGTCTTTGCCTGAGCTTGATCAGATTTGGACCTGTCCTGCTACTACTCCCGGGTATATCCAAAGCAAGTAGTTTCTGATGTGCAAGGAAAGAGTAGGTGCTAGAGACTGAAAAGTCTCCATTTTTATTGAGTTTCCAGTAAGGCCTATCTTGCTTCCCCGGTTTGAGAGTGGAAATATTCAAGATGGCTCTGCTGTCATGAGCATTGAACACTTGGTTAATCAACCAGGCATTCCAGTTTTTCCCAGTATTATCAACAAGCTCATTGACCCAAGTAAGATGTCCTCTGGCAAAATCAACCAACACAGGCTTAGGCTGAAAGAGGTTGGGGACCCAATTAACATCATCAATTCTGGTATTCATACCATTTCTAATTTCAACAGCATACCCCTTAGCCAAAGTAGGAACAACCCCAAGCCAGTTGGCCCATAACCAAGAACAAGATTGAGATTTAACAGCATCAAAGATAGAGCAATGAGGAAAATACCTATCTTTTAGGATTCTGCTCACCAGAAGATTAGGCTGGGTGGTGATTCTCCACAGCTGTTTGCAAATGAGAGCAGTATTGAACAGTTGAAGATCTAGGAAACCGAGTCCACCATGGTCCTTGGGAAGTGTCAGTTTGTTCCAAGCTCTCCAGTGGATTCCACTGCTATGGTCTTCATTTGTGCTCCACCAGAACTGAGAGCATAGCTGAGAGATTTTTGCACAAAGAGTTTTTGGAAGCATAAAACAGGACATTGTGAACATTGGAAGGGCTTGTAAAACAGCAGTGATGAGCACAGATTTTCCAGCTTGGCTGAGTAGCTTTGATCTCCAATTACTAATCTTGGACTGGACAGAATCAATGATATAATGGAAAGTGTCAAGCTTGGATCTACCAATGCCTAGAGGAAGGCCTAGATATCTGGTAGATCTATGCTTGACAATTCCAGGAAGAGCAGCACAAATTCTGTTTTGGAGAATATCAGGAGTTTTCCTGCTGAAGAAGATGGAAGACTTGCTGAAATTTACCATCTGCCTAGTAAATAGCCTATATCTTTCCAAAATAGTGAGGATGGAGTGGGCCTGATCAACTGTGGCCTTGCAGAAAACCAGAGAGTCATCCGCAAAGAGTAAATGAGAGAGTGCAGGGCCATTTGTGGATAGTTTCATACCAGTAAGATGACCAGAGGCAGTAGCTTGGTTGACCAGAGCAGATAAGGTTTCAGCAATGATTAAGAATAAATAAGGAGAAAGGGGATCTCCCTGTCTTATTCCTCTTGTAGGAAGGACATAACCATTAACTTCACCATTAATCTTAAAGGAGAATGAGGAAGTAGAAATGCAGATCATGATCAAGTTGACAAAGTCCTGATGGAAACCCATTTGCAGCATAATTTTTTTCAAACAAATCCATTCTACCTCGGTCAAAAGCTTTCATGAGGTCCAGTTTCAATGCCATAAAACAGTGTTTAGAAGAAGAATGCCTGTTTAAGAAATGAAAGGCCTCATGACCAATAATGACATTGTCCATAAGTTGCCTTCCTTTGATAAAAGCAGACTGAGAGTCACTGATGCACACATCCATACACTTTTGAAGTCTGGTGGCAAGAATTTTAGAGACCAATTTATATATGATAGTGCACAAACTAATAGGTCTAAACTGAGTCACATATTCTGGATTCAGGCACTTTGGAATAAGAGTGACTATAGTATGGTTCCAGTATTTTAAAAGAAGCCCCTTGTCATTCAGAAAACTGGAAATAGCTGACACCACATCATTTTTTATAATGTCCCAAAAAGATTGGTAGAAAAGAGCAGTCATACCATCCTCTCCTGGAGATTTGTCTGGCTGAAGGCTGAAAAGAGCTCCTTTGATTTCATCTTCTGAGGTTGGAAGGAGGAGGACTTGGTTCATCTCAGCAGTAACAGAGGGATTGATAAGAGAGAGTATGGAGTCACCCCCCGAAGACCCTTCTGATGTGAAAAGATCCGAGTAGAATTGGTTGATGTGGTTCTGGATTTCTTGAGGAGTCTCACAGGCGATGTTCTGATTGATAAGGAGTCTAGTAATGGCATTCTGTCTTCTTCTGGACATAGTGTAAGCATGGAAGAATTTAGTGTTGCTGTCCCCTTCCTTAAGCCACTGAACTTTGGATTTTTGTTGCCAGAAAAGCTCTTCAACTTTTTGTGCTTGCTGAAGCTCAGCTTTTGTTGTGACCCACTCATCCCAATTGGTAACACCTTCTTCTTGCTGCAGAGAGTCCAGCTTTTTTGAGAGATTTTCAATGAGAGATTGGTTCTGAGATTTGAAATTGGCACTCCAGATTAACAAAGCTTGTCTAGTTGCCTTAACTTTCTCCTTAAGAATAAAGAAGGGAGTGCCAGTAAAAGATTTGCTCCAAGCTTCTTGAATAATGTGATGAATCCCATCCCTTAAAAGCCATCTTTTATCAAAATGGAACCTGCTTCTCCTTCTTACAAGTGGATCTCCTGAGTTAAGCAGCAGCATGGTATGATCTGAGGCTGGTCTTGCACTATTGAGAATTGAGGCTTGTGGGTGACTCTCCAACCAAGCAGCTGATGCAAAGCCTCTGTCAAGCTTGGCTTCTATGAGGCCTTCAGAAAATCGATTGTTGTACCAAGTAAATTTGTACCCAGTCATTCTTATTTCCTCCATTCCCATGCGGTTGATAAAAGAGTTGAAACCTTCCAAACTAGAAGATGCTCTGTCAATGCCTCCTCTTTTTTCTTCCCCTCTGCAGATAGCATTCCAATCACCAATAATATACCAGGAATCACCCCATTGATGCTTGGCTAGTTCCAGTTCTGCCCATTGTGATTGTCTTTCCAAAGAGTTGGTGCTAAGGTAAACAAAAATCCCCCAGGTGGGGTTAGCATCTTCAAATCTGTATTGGACTGCAATGTAGTAGGGATGAGAAATGATCTGGTCAATTTGAACTTCAGAAACCCAACACAGAAGTAATCCACCACTGAGGCCAACTGGATCCACTATAGAGCATCTATTATCAAAACCAAGCTTTCTCACTACTGATTTAACAAAGGCTGAGGAGTTTTTTGTTTCTGACAGAAAAGTAAAAACCGGGTGGTGAGTTCTTAAAGACTCTCGAATTTGGGAAATTGTAGAGGGCCCACCCAGCCCTCTACAATTCCACACCATGGCTAACATTGATCACTTCGGCGCCATTCGAGGCTGGCCACCTCCACCTTTTCAGAGTCGATTTTCTGCTTCTTATTGCTTTCAGGATTCTGGTTTTGAGACTGAATTTCTGGCTTTTGGTCATCATTGTCAGATCTGATTCTCTTAACTGAAGTGTTAGCCACCTGGATTGAAGAGGTAATAGGCTGTCTCTGAAGTCTTCCTAATCTGGATTCTGATCTTTTCCACAGTTTGGGTTTAGCAAGGTGCTTACTTGGAGTAGAAAGTTGTAGAGACTTCTCCATAGTACTAGGGTGCTGTGAGGTATCCACTTCCATTTCCTGCTCGAGGATTTGGACTTGCTTATGAGACACCAGAACTTCCTGTGAGAACTTAGAGGATGAGGGAATGTCATGAGGCATATCATTTAAGATAGGAGAAATAGCCTGAATAGGTTGTGAGATAGAGGTTTCAGAGGCTGTGTTATGATGTTGAGATGGAGAGCCTTCAATAGATAGGATTTTATTACTGTCATTTTGGTGGGAGGATGGAGTAGGTATGCGGGTGTTAGAGGCTGTGGGTGAAGATGGGTTCTCTGAGGATGAAGGACTGTAAGTTCCCTGAGAATTAATGCCAGCCCAGTGAGGGCTTTCAGTAGCCCTCATCCAAGCACCATATTGACCTTCCTGAACATTTCCTGTTTTGATATCATCCATTCTCAATGCACATGCTCTATCCAAATGTCCTATTAGGCCACAGTAATGACAATGGTTAACTAGCTTTTCATATTTGAAACCTACATTGACTGTTTGATCATCCATTCTCAGAGTAGCACATCGAGGCAGAGCTTCCTTTAAGTCTACTGTGACAAGAAGGCGCATAATTCTTCCACCATGACTGCCAGCTCCAACAATAACCACATTTTGCACCTGTTTAAACACCCTCCCAATTTTCCTGCCTACTTCAGTGCTTAACCAATCCAGCGGCACATTGAAGGCCTGAACCCATAAGTTGAGGTCATTAAAAGTTGGATGGCTTAAAGACAGACCTCTTCTCCATTCTGAGAGGATGAGATACTGATTGTCATACGTCCAGTTAATGCCCTTGGCCACTCGCTCCTTGTCCTCCTTACTTTGGAATATAAATTGGAAGTAGTTCGGTCCGAGTTCCTTAATGTCCATGGGCTGATTAAGCCTCCATATCTGGTTCATTGCCCTTTTGACGCCCATCCAACTGTTTTTCCGATCACCAACAATTTTCCCAAATAAGCTACGTTGGCATTCATCCGCACTGAGTTTAATGTCTTCATGCCCAATATCAATAAAGGAATGCTCTTTAGCTGATAGGGACACATTCTGTAGCTTCTGGGATAATTCTTCATCTTGCCCAATGCAATTTGGGGATCCCATAAGAACCCTAATTTAAAACCCGATGAACTGAGAAGAAAAGGAAAAAGACAAAGATGGAGGAGCAAGAGATTGAAATGATGGGGATAGAGAAGAGAAGGTATCAACTAAGAAAAGGGGATAAGCAACCGGAAAAGCTCTCAGGCGAGAGAATGCAGAGCGCTCTCAGGCGAGAGAATTTTTTGTATTGCAACTTCTTTTTGTTGATGTTACTCGCTTTAGGAATCCAAATGTCTTCCCTCTAATCGTATCCACCTTTTTAATTCGGTTCCGTAATAGTTTCTTCGCTAGTAGAAACTACTCAGTTTTTATTCAATTAGTTTAGAATATATTTTGAGGAGATTTACAAGAACTCTTTCTTGTTTTGAAGTTTGAAGAACACTTCTTCTTTTCTCTCTTTTTCAACTCTTGAAAACTTAAGATTACTTTTGAACATCAAATATGTCCATATTTATACTAAACATTTTAGTATAAGTTAATAATATTTGGTGGAATATTTTCATAAAATATAAAAAGTCTTCAAGAATATTTTCATAAAATATTCAATCTTGAACAAGACTATCCCCACCAAATATTGTATTAATAAAAATAAGATTAATTATGTTAAGTGGTTAACAACTTCAAACCACCATAATTAATTTATTCTTATTAATATTTAATCTTTAATAAAATAATGATTCTTGAAAACATTTTTCAAGACTTTATTATTTTATTCTTTTCTCCCATCTCCTCATTTAATAATCATATTATTATTTGGATTTGAAATTTAAAATCCAATTTTAAATTCCAACTATTAATTAGTAATTACATTAATTACTAAATTAATATCCAAAATTCAATTTATCAATCTTATTGATTAATTTAATATATTCTTTAATTGACATCTAATCAAATTAGATTTTTCAATTAATTCTAACTCTTTAGAATTACTATTTGAATTTTACCTTCATTCAAAAATTGGTGTGACCTTTTAGGTTCACAATTAATACTAGTAGTGGGTTTACAACTCTTTGTAATTTGAGTTAATCTTATTAACTCTTATTCATGAATTAACTCCTTAATTGAAGAACCCACATATCATGGGAACATCTAGCAAGTAACATGAATCTAGTATTAAGTGAATAGCGAGTAAACCTATTTCAATTACAAGTCCATACATGTAAAATCCTTTCGACATCCAATTTCCCGATTAAATCTTTGGGTATGATTTTGTCGAAACCCAAATTGATTTAATAACTATGATTCCATTTCAAGTCTAGTAATTCGTTTATGAATCTCTATTCATCCCGCCTTGGCCAAGGACTTTGAATTACTAACTATGAAACACATAGGAAATTCACGTATCTTCATACGTGTCGAATCCTTTGTTGGCCACTGACAAACTTCCATACATATTAATATAGTACCCAAAATATCCCTTTATACGATTGTGTTAGCAATCAAAAGGATAAATCAAAGTAAAATATAATATGCACAAAGTTACCATTGTGCCTCAAGTCTAAGGATTAATCATGTACTATTGTAACATGAAAATTCTTATTCGACAGATAAATTATCATTAAGAATTTTCATACGGTCATGTTGAGTGAACTTGTTCTTTAACAAGCACCCACATATATGTATTTGCGTCCCACGCTAATGTTGATGGAATGCAACATTCTTGTCCTACAAGCATACATCATATATGCAAGTCTTTTCCGGATTTATTCGATATCCCATCTCGAAACATCCAACGACTTGGAACTGTATTTAAGATCACAACTTTCAAGGTATGTTCCATGATCACCATCTCTATGCGCAACCATACCTTATAGCTATATGTGATCTAGGGATTTTATTTTAAGTGCAAATATAAGATAAATGCTTACTCTTAAAATAAAGTAATGCCTTTTAATTAATATAATTCCAATAGATTGTATTTACAAGTAGAATACGTCCAATCTGATTGGTACGTCGGGTATCCTACTCTAACACATAAGTCATTCCAGTCACCAGTGCATAACCAATAATTGCCCCATCTATGCTGCATACACTTCAAAGTCCCATTGTTGCATTCTAATAGGTTTAGAAGTGCTCATGTAAACAAAAATAATCCACATGGGAGTAGGAAAATGAGGAGTTGAAAATTCAATTTCCATACAAAAGTCATGACAAATAAGCTGAGAAATATTTACATTAGTACCCCATAGCAAAAGAAAGCCCCCAGCAGTACCAACAGGGTTAACTACTTTCCATCTATCACCAACATTAAGACTAGAGCAAACAGTATTAACAAAAACAAGATTTTTTTTTGTTTCAGACAGGAAAGAAAAATCTGGGCAGTGGGTCCTCATTGACTCCTTAAGCTGGGGAATCGTAGAGGGTCCACCCAAACCTCTACAATTCCACACCAGCACTCTCATTGTTCACTTGTTGGCCCTTTGTGGGTGGCCAACAAACCCAGATCAGTGATGAGTTTGAGCTTCTTACCTCTCTGAGAGGAGGATGTAGTTGCTTGGGAGGATTCATCTACCTCTGGTTCATCTCTCTTTTGGGAGTGCTTGTTTGTGGGAGCTTTTGGTATTGACAAAGAGTTCTGAGTTTTGTCCTTGTTTGGAGTAGCTCTTTTCCACTTCCTGGTGTTGTGAACAGTAGCTGGATGAACCCCTTCAATATCCATGTTGTGTGCTATCTCAGGAATAGGAACATCATCAATCTTCTTATTATTGTTTGGCTCCATTTCAGCTCCTTTTGACTGGTTTATTGGATCTGGAATCAGTGGAGTGCCTTGTTCTGTGAATGAGGTTGTATGATGGTTAATTGAGGCTGGTATGTTGAGGCTCCCTGGCTGAGCTTGGATAGATACTTCCACTAGACAAGAAGGTTTCAGAAGGCTGTTTTCAGAATTGTCAGAGTCAATTACCCTCTTCGCAGGAGAGGATTTGGGAGTTGGGGAGTTGGACTTGAGAATAGGGACTATATCTTTAGACCCCAAGGATCCCATTTGGCTGGTTTGGTGGAAGTTGTGATGTTGGTAGCTTTCTCCCACTTTTAACCAGTCCCCATACTGACCACCTTTCAGATATTCTTGAACTATGTCCTCCAATCTTTTTTTGCAATCACGATCTAAATGTCCTAATGCACCACAGTAATAGCAAAGATTGACTAGCTTTTCATATTTGAAGGTGGCTTTGGTGACTTCCTCTCCCAGCCTTACATTAGCACATCTTAGAAGGGGTTCTTTGAGATTGATAGCAGCCAGAACTCTTATTACCCTTTTACCACCTGTGTCTTCAGCTTTGGGGATGGTGACGTTTTTCACCCCTTTGAGCAGTTTCCCAATTTTAAGCCCAACTTCCTCAGATTGCCAATGGATCGGGACATTGAAAATGTGGACCCAGAGATGGAGGATATCAAAGCAAAGATGTGAGATATTAATGTTGGCGACCCATTCATGAAGAATTAGGTATTGGTTATCGATGATCCAGTTAGTGCCAGAGGCCACTTTCCTGAGATCTTCACCGTTTTCAAAGATGAATTGAAAATAATTATAGTTTAGTTCTCTTATCTCGACTGCTTCTTGAATCTTCCATATTGACCTATTGTTCTCCTGAGGCCAAAGAGGCTAGCCTTGCGATCCCCTATAATTTTGCCGAATAAGCTTCTCTGGCACACTTCTTTACTCGGCTTGATGTCGTCTTGGGCAATATTGACAAAGGAGTTTTCCGCTTCCGACAACGTGAACTTTTTCAATTGTTGCTCAAGATCGTCTTTCCCGTGGTGATCTGGGCCGGATGAACTTCAGGCAGCCATGGTAAACGAATCTATGAGGAAGATTTGAGTATGGATTTTGCGGTGTTTCCCAAAGGGAGAATAGTTTTCCCAAAAGGAGAATTAGGGTTCCCAAGGGAGAATATCCCATATTATGAATCAAGAATAACAAATTGTTCAATTGGACTAATTCGAGGTCGATTACACTATAATTGACCGAGATTGTACTAATTCGACTTCAATTAGACAAATTAGAGTTCGATTACACTATAATTGACCGAGATTGTACTAATTCGGCTTCAATTGGACTAATTTGACTTCAATTACACTATAATTGACCGAGATTGTACTAATTTTACTTCAATCGGACTAATTTGACTTCAATTAGACTAATTCGAGTTCGATTACATTATAATTGACTGAGATTGTACTAATTCGACTTCAATTGGACTAATTCGAGGTCGATTACACTATAACTGACCGAGATTGTACTAATTTGACTTCAATTGGACTAATTCGAGGTCGATTACACTATAATTGACCGAGATTGTACTAATTTGACTTCAATTGGACTAATTTGACTTCAATTGGACTAATTCGAGTTCGATTACACTATAATTGACCGAGATTGTACTAATTCGACTTCAATTGGACTAATTCGAGTTCGATTACACTATAATTGACCGAGATTATACTAATTTGACTTCAATTGGACTAATTCGAGTTCGATTACACTATAATTGACCAAAACTGTACTAATTTGACTTCAATTGGACTAATTCTAGTTCGATTACACTTTAATTGATCTAGATTATACTAACTTCAATTGGACTAATTCGAGTTCGATTACACTATAGTTGACCGAGATTGTACTAATTTGACTTCAATTGGACTAATTCGAGTTGGATTACACTATAATTGATCGAGATTGTACTAAGTTGACTTCAATTGGACTAATTTGAGGTCGATTACATTATAACTGACCGAGATTGTATTAATTCGACTTCAATTGGACTAATTCGAGTTTGATTACACTATAATTGATCGAGATTGTACTAATTTGACTTCAATTGGACTAATTCGAGTTCGATTACACTATATTTGACCGAGATTGTACTAATTTTACTTCAATTGGACTAATTTGACTTCAATTAGACTAATTCGAGTTCGATTACACTATAATTGATCGAGATTGTACTAATTTGACTTCAATTGGACTATTTTGATGTCGATTACACTATAATTGACCGAGATTGTACTAATTTGACTTCAATTGGACTAATTCGAGTTCGATTACACTATAATTGACTGAGATTGTACTAATTCAACTTCAATTGGACTAATTTGAGGTCGATTACATTATAATTGACCGATATTGTACTAATTCGACTTCAATTGGACTAATTCGAGGTCGATTACACTATAATTGACTGAGATTGTACTAATTCGACTTCAATTGGACTAATTCGAGGTCGATTACACTATAATTGGTTGAGATTGTACTAATTCGACTTCAATTGGACTAATTCGAGGTCGATTACACTATAATTGTCCGAGATTGTACTAATTCGACTTCAATGGGACTAATTGGAGTTTGATTACACTATAATTGACCGAGATTGTACTAATTCAACTTCAATTGGACTAAATCGAGTTCGATTACACTATAATTGACCGAGATTGTACTAATTCGACTTCAATTGGACTAATTCGAGTTCGATTACACTATAATTGACCGAGATTGTACAAATTTTACTTCAATTGAACTAATTCAAGGTTGTTGTAAATATCTTTTCTGGAGTAGAATCGAAAGATTCGAACACCGGGTCGGGTCTCACGAGGAAGGTTAGCCAGAATATTCTATACGTTTATTCAAATACTAATTAAAGAAATAAAATTCCTAAACATTCTAATTCAGATGATTTGGTTTGATTATTAACTACGAAAAAGACTTCAAACATGGTAAATAGAAATAGCAAGCAATCGACGAAGAACAAGCAGGATTTAAGAAGTTAGGGAGTCGGGGATATCCGTTTTGGTTCAAAAACGCAATTATCAAGCAAGAGATTGTTCGGTCAAGTGATTTGAATAATCACTTTTCGTAACTTTTCGTAACAAGAGAACAAACTAGAACGGCAAATTAACAATTCATTTAACTTCTAGGCAATACAGAACAAGCCTAGTTCATACGAGCCTATTTCGACCGACTCCTCCCCTTTCGGTTCTAAGAGTCGATTAAAGTAGACTAGAAGGTGTTTAATCAACTAGTCCGTTTACAATAACCAACATCAAGCAAGAATAGATCGAACTCAATTGCTAACAATTGGGGATTGAAGTGTCACCCTTCAACAGTTCTAAATACTCGAGCCCGACAATTGAAAAAACCTAGAAAAAGATCAGCTCGTATGAAATTGAACAATCCTGAACCCGACAATCACAAACGATATCAAAACATCAATCCCATATCCCTAGCATATGGATTTAGCCAATCATAATCGATTCAACACCAACAATCTCAACAATCAAGACAAATATATTCATAGATTAAATGAAAAGAAAATCTTACGAGTGATGAAATCCTAAGGTTGAATACGATAAACAAGCTTAATCCGAAGCAATAGTGAAATCCGAGTTCAAATCCGTGTTCTACGATGAAAAATATGAGAGGAAGATGTAAAACGAGAGAAAAGAGACGAGAGGGTAGGGTTTTTATGTTCTGGGGTGAGAGATCCCTCTTTTCTGTCGAGCCCGATCCATATTTATACTTGGCACGGCATCACGGCGTGGTGGCTTAGTGATGCGTATGTGGTCATTGACCCGTTCGAGCGCGAGGACGAGGCCTACGATGACCAAGGAAAATGTGCGCAAGTCGTCGGGACAGGCCGAGAGGCCGTAAAAAGAGGGCACGTACGCGCATAAAATGGCGCGCGCATAACAGGCGCACGGTATGTAATATCCCTCTCAGTTATCTCAGTTATTATGAGTTATTGTTCCAAGAAATAAGTGATTTCAAGTCCAAGATAGTGAGTTATCGGACCGAAATTAAGAATTTTCAAGGAACAAGCCACACGAGTCGTGTGAAGAGACACACGAGTCGTGTGAAGCCACACGAGTCGTGTGGAGAGGCACACGAGTCGTGTGGAGAGGCACACGAGTCGTGTGGGATGGAGACGTGATGAAAGTTAGCCTCGGGATTTTGACACGAGTCGTGTGATGAGCCACATGAGTCGTGTGAAGCTACACGAGTCGTGTGATATAGTACACGAGTCGTGTGAGAAGATGAATGATTAAGAGCAAAAGTGTCGGCAAGCCACACGAGTCGTGTGGCAAGGCACACGAGTCGTGTGAGGCCACACGAGTCGTGTGACTCCGCCACACGAGTCGTGTTGCCGACAGTCCAATTGGATTATTGAGAATTCGATTGTGACTTTAACCAAATGCCATTTTTGATGTTTAAATATGCTTTGGATGGATGAATAAGTAAATCATAAGATATTTTAAAGATTATTTAAGTTTATAAGTTAAATTTTATATTATGATCATTTAATCACTCTATTTGGATGTTTCTCCAATTTGTGCCTATAAATAGAGGCTTAAACCTTAGAGTTTTTACANCNNNNT